ACAAAGCTTTTTTGGGTAATGTTTGCTTATGTTACTTTTATTCTCTTATCTATGGTTACTTTTCATTTTTTAGATTTATGCGTCATTAGCGCCACTTATTGTTCCCATTTTTGTGACCACTTTTTCAAATATAGTCCCATAAGAGATTTTTTCATCTCTACACTCCATAGTATCGTGTGAGGTTAAGTTTGATCTTTTGAACAAGAGCTGACAAGTTTGCGCGCGATTCTTTTTTCTTTCAAAATTTGTTCGATTGTTTATCGTCTCTATTTTCTTAATTATGGAGTCGAATTATTCTTTTTGGTAATAAATGGAATGTTGGGAATTTTGTCATTACTCTGATTTAACTATTCAGCACAGAATTTTTTTTCTAGATACTCATAGTTTTTTAATACTAAACTTTATAAGTAGAAGAAAGATAAAACTAACGGAAATACTACGTAGGTCAAAATCATTCCTAATAATGAAACTCTAGTAATCGACCAATTAGAGAGTGAGAAATCCCACTTTTTCTAAAAATACAAAATTGTAGTGTAGAGGAATACGGAAACTGCGAAAGGACCCTCGCCACCTGGTGAACAGAGCCTCGAAGCATCCGATCATTGTATATCTACGTTATTCATAATCAAGGGTTAAATATACGCGGTACCGTAAAAAGTTAAATATAAAAGTTATAGGGTTTTTAAACGTCTATTGGCGAGTAATATTTTAAGTAGACAGTGTCGTATAATTGGAACCCTCTGTATATTATTGGATATTTTAATTCTTCCTTCAATTCTAAGCCGAAATGAGATACACACAATGTACATCAAACCAACCGTTTCCGACTTATTGATACTTGAAAATATCACTTAAACAATTTTTAGATAATTTTTAAAATTAACTTGTAATTAAAATGTGTGTATTTGAAAAAAGAACAGTTTTTGATCAAAAAATTTTAAAAATTGGGTGTACAGTCCTATTTCATAAGGTGCTCAAAGTGTTCTCCATAAACTTCTTGACAATAATAAATCCGCAATCCGCTGAAGACAATTTTGAAGTGTATTTGCAAGAGCATTTTGAGAAACAGACGACAACGAAGGCTTTCGGTGGCGTATCGTGTTTCCACGATTTAACACAGAGTTGTTGTAACACACTTCTTTCTAGTTAATTATTTTATGCGCTGTACTAGCGGTCGAGTCAAGCCAATCACGTTTATCTTCGACATATTCTGGAGCGCCATGTTGGACGCTGTCATTTCATTTTGCATTTGATTGTCGTGTGTTGCATCGTGTGGCAATTAAGTTAGTTCTCAAAGTAATTACTCACATAGCATACTCAGAAGCAGAATGCCACTGCTTGATAGATATTGTGGAAATTTATAAATTAATAATAGAAAATCTGTTGTTTAATCTCTATACAATTAACACTAAAAATCAATAATCCCTCTTTAATAAAAGAAAGATTAAGTTTATAAAACTATTTATTCCAAAAAATATTTGAAAAGAAAATAGTAACAGAAATACCTACCAATTTTGTTATTAAAAAAATTAAAAATTAATATTACAGAATGAAAAATTAGAGCTTGAAATAAAATGATTAAAAAAACAATTGTATAATATCTGTTAATAGTTTATATAATTTTTTTAATAGTAAATATAATTTTTATGCAATTAATCCTAAAAATCCATAAACCCCTTAAAAGTACAAAATTAATTCATTTATTATTAAAAATAAGCTTAAAAACCTACACAAAAGTTTTGTTCTGCCAAGTAGTCATCTGAAGAATCACACTCACTGCTATCTCGCCAAAACATATTATTTCTTTTATTGCCTGATTCATATTCAGATGATGAGGAGGATGACATTTTTATATATTTAAAAAAATGTAGACTGGAACGCCAGAAACTTCGTGGGGAAACAAGATTAAAATTAAAAGTGAAGGTAACGTCAGAACTGAACCGAAGGTTGACAGTTCAAACGAGCTCGAAGCGTCGCGTCGGTCGACTCCAACCGGTGCGGCGCCTGCGTTTCAACCGGATGATGGTCGTTTATCATACCAAAACCATCGGCTGAACGTCGATTGAGGCTCAACCGTCGGTGAACTAGACTTTATAACACCCGCCCTAATACCCGGCCTGAGTGGTTTCCGGAGACAGTTGTAGTGTAACAACCCAAATTCGTCAAAAAAGTTGAAGAGGTAATATTTTTGGCCAACTGTATAATAAAACAATTTAAATGAAAGCAAAGGAACCTACGTTGTGTTAAATATTTTTTTTATTGTGATTACCTCGGATGCGCCTCGACAGAAGCAATATTTTGGGAAATTTGACGAGAATAGGTTATGTAAATAAAACGCTAAATTTGTAAATAGCCCTGCTTATTTTATTAAATGAAATGAAAAGAGTGCCGTACTCTGCCTGGAATTCACATGTAAAAGAGCACGGCAGAGAAAACCATGATCACTATTCCAGAGACTCTAACTATGCTGTCCTTAACTTTAATAAAAGAGAAATAATAATAATATAGAAGCTGTCCTCATACCAAGGTTTGTAGTTTATACATTCAAACATGCCACATTTATCATTCAAAACTGAAAAGTGTTTGGTTAGTGGCAGGTCGCGCCGCCTGCAGGTACTAAGGTCTGGTTTCGGATCTCGAAGCTAAAGTTGGATGTTTGGTGTAAATATCTTAATATTATATTTGCTTTAAGTTGCCCTCTGCGAGCTAGATATTCGCCCAGTCACGGTCGAAAAGTAGTACATTCAACAGCTCATTTCTCGACCAACATCGACGACTGGACAGCACATTATTTAGATTACTTTTAAACTGAAATTATTTACAGCATAAATAGATTCCATTAAATGCATACACATGTTATATGATATAATTCTCAGATGAAATAAACAAGAAAAAACTTTAATACAGAATATTAGGACAGAAAAATAAAATATATGCTTTAGTTAACATTAGTTAAATAATGAGAAAATATTTACTTTACCTTTAATAACATTCTTTGTCACAAAACTCAAGAACCAAAAATAACATCAATGCGTCTCGAATCGTAGTCTCAAAGCTAATCATCTTTACAACTATGATCTCTGGTCGTCGCCTCTTTCCCTCTCCCTACTTTTGCGAATAATATTTTAAAAATCAATAATTTTATTTATGTATACAGAGTGTCTTAAAACTGAATATTTTAGATTTAAAGAAATATGTCTATTTTTAAATAGGCGGTTCATCTCACAGTGTTACCAGAACTACTGATAAATCCGTACGTTTATGGATTTTGGGTACAATACGTTAATAATACGGATTTCATTAAACAATAATTTATTATAATATTATATAATTAAACAAAGAACGGCGTCAGAGTTGGCTTGGAAATAAAGATCTCTGTTATCTAATATGTAAAATATTGTGGTAAATGTCAATAATCGTCATTTCCAAGCCAATTAAACGACTTTTTTCGATCATGCGATATATTCAGTACCTATAAAAGAATTTTTATTTTTGTTGTTTATTCTATGTTTAACAAGAATACATTTTCAGTACATAAATGCAGATTTTTCATCCAAAGAAATTTTTGTCAATCGTATTACGGATTTTACACAATTTAATATGGCAATACTGTCGCTTTCAGTTCCACACCATCTTCTATATTCCTTCGCTGGCCGACTTAGAGAAAATAAAATTATTTATGCGTTGGCCGCAGAAGAATTGGTGTCTCCACTGTACAGCACTTGAGACGTAAGGGGAAATCAAATTAGCCTTGTCACGAATTCGTCCCATTAGGTTGCGTATCTTCCTAATTCTATCAATCAACGGTTCTAGTGTCTTCTATTCGTTCTATCGTCGGATTCATTGGCAGTGTCCCTGCATCGATGCGATTCTAGAAGGTCATATTAGTGCGAGGCTAGTTTCGCGACAATATGAAGTGGCGGTTTAGGACCAGGAAATAAAAAACCTTTTATTTGAAAAACTGCCGACGTTTCAACGTGTATTCTCGTCTCTTTCAAGGCTATTTTCAGCTAAAAGTTTTTTTTTGTCAAAAATAAGTAAGTAGCTTATCCTGATAGTATAGGTACAATCAACAACTGCAGGCTGTAATAAAATTCATTAAATAAATTTATTACTTCCAAAACGCTTCGCATTCTCTCAGCACAAAATGCCATTTTGCGGAAACTGTGATACTTAATAATTATTTGACATTAGTTGTATCAACTTAATTATTTGACATTAGTTGTCAAATTAGCATTTATAGATGTATAAAATGAGATTAAATCAAGTCTGGAAATTACAAAATTTTCGTTTAACATTTCAAAATCAAAACTTCATAACTCGTAAAATGGTTGAATTTATGTACATTATGTGTATTACGATTATTTCTTAAAATTGAAAGAAGAATTGAAATATGCTCTAATTTATATGGGGTTGCATTTAAAAAAAATGAAACTCTGATATGTCACAACTTTAACACCGACCCTGTATATTTAAATTTACTACTATCTAATAGAGATTTGAAAACCCTATAACTTTTGTACTTAACTTTTTGCTGTACGTTGTATGCTGTATATATTACTTTTACTTAATAATCGACCATTCTCATACATAACAGCAACCCTGTATAACATTGAAAACATAGTGTAATAGTAGCATTTCAATTGATAGTTCATGATAAATTCCGATAATCTGACTACTATCAATTTGCTACTAAGATATGAATTACTATTTATTTTTTTTGTACCCTGTATATTTAAATTTACTACTATCTAATAGAGATTTAAAAACCCTATAACTTTTGTACTTAACTTTTTGCTGTACGTTGTATGCTGTATATTTTACTTTTACTTAATAATCGACCATTCCCATACATAACAGCAACCCTGTATAACATCGAAAAACATAGTGTAATAGTAGCATTTCAATTGATAATTCATGATAAATTCCGATAATCTGACTACTATCAATTTGCTACTAAGATATGAATTACTATTTATTTTTTTTTCATAACACTGTAGGAAGCAGTGTTGGATCCCGAGTAAACATACATCAGAAGTTGCAAGAGAAGAAGCAAAAGCAATTAGCTGAATTGAAGATTATTGAAGAAGAAATAAAACAAGGGAAACTGGTGGGACCAGAAAATACAGATTTCGATGACAGGCAGCCCATACCACGAGCAAAAAAGCATGTAGAACCCCAACTTTTGAGTTTGGCCTCTTTGAACAACTTGGTTAGCTACGGGGTGAACTTGAACAGAAGACCGCCACCTAGAGCTCCGAGAAACAGGTATGAATTAGTATTTATACGAACTTAAAGAAAACACAGTAGTTTTCTTTAAGTTTTTATTGTTAACACCTTAGATCACAGTGTGTAAGAATTGTATCTCTTTCATGCATGTTCTGGTTACAGTGGTTCATGTTTGTGTTATAGAACTCCTGAACTGCTGCTCACACCAAGATACCTGTACTGTGACTGTGTAGGTGGCAGTAGCGTGAATAATAGTCAACCGCCTGTGGAAACAACTGAGTTGGTAGGGGGCAATACCGGAATGACCCATCATTCAGTAGGCTCAGATTTGGAAAGCCAAGTGTCTTTGCCTAGATCATACACACTGCCCAGGGAGTTCAAATATTACAGAAGGTATATTTTTTCCAACATTTATTTTCTTATTTCTAATTTTAACTGCTAACAGCGGTTTATTGAACTACTTTTTTTTGTAGGCAAAGAACTGGCAGGGCTATGCAAGCTGTCGCCTCCACTAATAGCAGCGACGGTGATGTGGACAGCGCAGACGACGAATCTGACTGTAATCCCCCACCTCCTGCTATTGTTAGACCGCTTCGAAGGCCTTACAGACATGAAACCAAGTTGTGACCAAAGTGGAAGTTAGGGGACTCTATTTATTTCAATATTAATTTAACTCTAAGAAATTTCAAACAATTTGTGCCTTTTATAGAAATATAAAGCGATATTTTTCGAGACATTTAATATAGTAGTTTGTATAATTATATATTTTGGATAAAGTAAATTTGTTAAAGGGAATAACAAAAAACAACAGTAAGAAAATGTATGTATATTTGTAAAAAACAGACTATATTCCATTTTCACACAAGTTATATAATGTAATTTTTTTATTTACTACTGTTTAATATTAAGATTTTATTTATTTTTTGTACATCTCTAGTTTGTAACTTAAAATATAATACTGTTTATTTTTTTTGATATTCACTGTGAATTTTGCTTTATACTGGCCTGGTCATTCTAAATTTGATATTTGTATTTGATTGAGAGGTAAGACAAAGATAAAATAGTTATAGCTAGTAGAAAGACAGAAATACAAAGAAATGCAGAGTTGCTACGTGCGGCAAGCATGATTTAAGATTAAAGATAAAAATGAAACTCATTTTAATCAAGCACACCAACAGACTAAAATATAACGTAATGTATTAGAACCTGAGATTGGAACTGTAGTAAATTTCCTTTAATTATTGATATTTAACGGTCTAATTGGAAAACGGATCTCGTACAGTTTTATAAGCGCCGCTGGTATACAGTGGCACGAATTGCTTTGTACGGTTTTACTTGTGCATGTGGAGTACGGTTTTCTAGTATGTAGAGGTAACTTTCTAATTAAACCAATAATACGACGTTGTGTTTCAAAAGTATTATTATTTGAAAAATAAAATAAAATATATGTATTAGGTTTGTATACATTCGTCCTCCGTCGTTCCGTCACTCCAATCATATTTAAGTATGGGCTGTCATTTTTGACACAATTGCATTTTATTTCGTTGCTTCGCTATTACAGAGGCTATTATATTTTGCGGTTATATTTTATAGTTATCACAGCTTCAACATTAACATGGCTCAGTAGTTGAAGTTCAGTTTTTGGTAGCCCTTGTCTAAGTTGGAGAGCTAGCAGCAATTGAGCTAAATTTATAAACTCGGAAGTTGTAGTTCAGTTGTGGACGTTGTGGTTCAGTTTCAGTTGGATGTTCGCAGCAGTTGTGCAATATGTTTGCATATATAACTGCAACGAAACTGTCAGTTTCGATTGTAGATTAGGTTTGGAATAGTAAATATTTCGAACGTTTTTCTTTCTATTTAAAAATACCATTGATCTTTTTCAAAGTTCAAACAGAATTGTAATGAAGTTTATAAAAATTTCTGCACTTATTCCTGGGAGACCTTGTATATTGTGTTAATTAATATTACTTCATTTTCTTTTAATAATGACAGTCAATGTATTTTATTGTTAATTATTAAATCATTATTGTAATGAACTTCATTAGTGTTCCGATTGTTAAATTAAATAAGTTAAATATTTAATTGCCATATTGTAAGAGAGTTTTGATCGGTTTTGGTCGCTATAGTTTAATGCGAGAAATCGAACCGTTCGCGCCGCTCGCCCTACTCTGCTAGTGCAGGCTGTGTGGAGGGGAGCACCAGTCGAGTACCTTGGCTACAGCAGTTCAAAACGACGTTTGTGGTCGCACGCGAAACAATGAGTTCGAGTCCGGAGTGCCCCGCCAAGTGACCAGCTGCCAGCCGCCGATCGCCGCCGTACTGCGCTAGGTAAGCACCAGCCGCCGAAGTGTTCGAAGGTAGGTCGTATTCTTGTTATGATTACTAGCGTTTACTCTACCATCTAAGCGCGTTATAGGGATAAGGGAGAGCGAAGGTTGCCGACCAGGCGAAAGAGGGAATACGGGGTGCTAGGGCAGGTGCCGGAAACTTTGTCCCTTAAGGGTAGTCTGACAACTGCTTCGGTATAACGTACCTCTTGGGAAAAGCTAATTAAGGGCAAATAATTAATTTATTTTATTAACAGAGTTGCCGACCAGGCGAAAGAGGGAATATGGGGTGCTAGGGCAGGTGCCGGAAACTATGTCCCTTAAGGGTAGTCTGACAACTAGTCCGGTATAACGTACCTCTCGGGAAAAGCTAGTTAAGGGTTAATCATTAATTGTTTTTATTAAGGGACTGCTAAAGTGGTTCAGTATACGCACGTGTCGCGAATATTTATGGTGCTTGAACCGGATCTCGCCCAACTCCCGAGGCTGGTTGTGTCGCGCCCGCTTTTCTCCAGGTGTGTCGTCCGGACGGCACCCTGCGACAGTGACGCTGGATGGGATCTCGCCGAAATCCTGAGGCTGTCGGGAGCGCCAAGAATTTCTTAATTCTACTTTTTCCTAACATTACGATTGCGTCCGAACGTCTTCGGAAAGTAAAAAACACTGTTGCCAGTATTCGCATATTTTCGTAAGTATATCAGACAGAGTGAATTATTATGAAATTATTGTTCGTTACTGAACGGAGTGAACTATTGTGAATTGAAAATGGAAGGATTATTTAAAAAGGAAGCCAGAAGGTAGGAAATTTCATTTGTGCTTATCTTTTGTAGTTATGTATTAAAAAAAAACAAAATATTCAGTATCCATAATGTTTCGGTTTACTTATAACTTGATTAGCATGTATTTAAGTGCAAGGTAATTAATTAATTTGTAATAAAATACTTTCAGATCCTCTCAAAGTGGAGGACAAGTACTGGCAGCTGGATAATCCAACTCCGATTGGATCCGCAATTATATGAAGATATAGATGTGAAAATAATAATAGTGGAATATATTAGCGGTAAGTAAAAATAAGTACCTCGGCCTCTGTCTCGGTGTTATAGTTTTGACAGTAGTTGGCTCCCAAATAATTTAAAATGAATTGTAATTTTATTTCTAGTAGTTCGAGCAGCAACGGTGGCAAAATGGTGTCTAGTTAGTTACCATAGTTACAATAGAACAAAAAGGTATGTACTTGGTATGTACCTTTTTTAAAATGGAAAAGACACATTTCTTTCCTAGACTTAATAATTAAAATAAGATTATTAACATTTTCAATTATATTCACTTTGGGTAGATATTGCTTTAAATAATAATATGTAATGTGTTTTACCCAATCTTTAATTTGACGGTGTTGTTAAATTCATTACTCATACATTTTTTTGTTTATAGGTAGGTGTAGGTATACCTACGCTCACCTTCAGTAGCACTTTTTCACCAGCCACCCGCAGTTCGCAGTCACTAGAATACCAGAGGGACTACAGTTTGATTTATTTTATTTTATCATACATTTATATTTTGTAATAAACCATTTCATATAATACCTACTTCCATGCTTTATTTTGACCGACTTAAAGTTCATGAATAAATTCGAAATATTTTGAAAAAATTTCTTATTAAGGTCTTAAAATTGAATTGCAATATCATTTAAGGGTGGTAAAAAGGTTGAGTTGGGGGAAAATGTTTTTTTCTAGTACCTTAAACTTCTTCAGTAAACTCAAAATAGCCTAAAAACGTTCCTCAGAGTCTCTAAATTAAAATACAAAATTATTTAATTGGGATGTTCTGGGTAATTTTATAAATAAAATACTCTTTGACTCCAGAACATTTATTTTATTTTCAGTTAACCCAGAGAATAGTTAACCTCTAAATTGACTCTAGGGATTATTGCCATTATTAGAATTCTCTGCTCTTATTTATTTAATTATACCATAGGCAACCAATAATACACACTCTCATGACATCATATATCTTTAATTTTGAAAGCTCTAAACATATATAACTGTGTATATAACTATTTAAATTTTGCTGTGTATATGACGGACCATGATTCTGAAAAGAATTAATTATGTTAGAAAGTCACTGCACATAATATGTTTTTAAAATATATTTACCTTTGTATGTTTCCTGCTTCTCCTTCGTGATGCTTGTGCTATAACGTTCTAATGTTCTAAAAAAAACATTAACTGTCAAAATTACAATTTTGTTTTAATTTCCAATAAAATTAGTTTGTTTTTCTCGTTTTTCTGCTTCATCTGTCTCTTTTTCCTTCACCCTTCCTCACAAGATTTATCAGTTATATAAAAATGTTTAATTTAATTTCCAGTTAATCGCATACCACACTGTTTCCGATTAAAAATATTATCAATACTCAATGCGTCTGCATAATTATAACATTTTATTTTTATATCACTTTCTAACTTAACGTATGGAGCACCTGGCCAGCCTCTAACTTTTCGAGTCTCAACTCTCGATAGCGACTGCGAGGAGCGACGTTGACAAATTTAACACGTTTTTTTCCTTCATTTCATGTAGAATGTACGGGAGAACGAGGTGGCGGTATTCGAGGTGGCGGTATTCGTCCTACGGGGTATTTATAAGGCATATGATATATGAGATAGGTAGGTATGTACCATGTGGTAGGTACAATATGATAGAAAAAAAAACGGCGTCAGTGAGGGCTATGAAATGAAGATCGGTGTCTTTTATATGTAAAATTATATAGGGAATGTCAAGGATCGTCATTTCCAAGCCAACTGGACGCCGTTTTTTCGATTATATGAGACATAAGTGTCAGCCTTGCTACACCACAGACCTTTATATTATACTTCTAGCACAAGGACATATCGGCAAGCCTTAGGTTGGTGTTTACGCGTATAGGTGTGAATCGCTATGGTGACACATAACCACACTTAATCTGATGATTTCCTATGCATTCAATACCAAGTTCAATACATCTGATTGTAATAAGCATATTGGCCATACTCTTCATATACATGAAAATCGTATCAATCGTGTATCACATAGCACATTTAAGAGGACTGATCCTATAAAGGCATTTATTTTTGTTTTCTATTTATAACCTCGTTAACTCATTTATTTTGTAGATTTATTGAATATTAAGCTCTAGGATAAAAAAACCTGCTTAGACAGAACATGGGTATTTTCAGAATACTTTATTTAGAAGATCTTGTCAGGACAATGATATAAGATTACAGAAAAGTATCTGACGTAGGACAAATGTATAAAGTCTTTCAGGATACCCTTCGAGGAACAATTTAGAATGATGCAGCGTAAACTACAGTAAAGTCTGAACATTAAAGCATAAAGGTAAATAAATTATCCATACATGTGTGCAGCAAAGTCGTAATATAATAAATTTATTGTTTTCAGAAACAAAATCCACAACTTATTCTGCCAAATACAAATAGTACACATCTTATTTTACTAAGCGTGTTGACCGTACTCTTCATACACACAAAAATCGGCACCCAAGGCCTGAAATGCCAACTCTAGTATACCTATTCTATGTAATAAATATTTTTTAAGTATATTTATTTGTATTATTATCTTTCTAGATTAAAATATTTTTAATCAGTCTGAGAATCAATATGAATTTATTTTTAAAAAAGAACGAGTATACCTAAAAGCAAAAATGATTTAAGTTAGTATGTCAAAATAATAAGTTAAGGTATTTTTAGAAAACCTGTATTTTAAATTGCAAAAGCTGATAGAATTTCAAATATTTTTCAAACTAAAAAATGTATCGATCTGAATTAATTTTTTCAAATATAACCAGAAAAAAATATCTATCTTAAAGTTGCAGCTGTGGTTGCAATACTCTGTATTGCTAAAAACATTTTATTTATTAAAATTACAAAATTACGGTATAAAGTTATAAAAAAGTACTTTATAAAAAAGATCTCCAAATTGTCAAAGAAAAATAATAAAAGGGAAAATTCTGAAATTTACAGAAATTTCTTTTTCACTTTATTCAATTATGTTAATGAGAGTGAAAGTAAAGACTATGGAAGAGCTTATTCGTAGTAAAGTAACTAGTTAATTAGTTATTCTGTGTATAGCAAAGACTACCTGTAACGACCCCTAAAAGTAGTTAATAATAATTTAACATTAATAATTAGGTATTTCTTGCCTGAGTGCCTTGAGACAAAACCGGTAAAATAATAAGAACAAAATATGTGAGCAAAGGAATTCATAAAACCGTAATATGTAAAGTTGATTAAAACAAATTACATATAAATATATATAAATACTGTAAAATCAAAAAAAAGCAGCTGGAAGAGCAGCAATTTTTTTCAATTGTATAGTACTGTATGATCGAAAAAACGGCGTCAGTTAGCTTGTTAATGATTATCGATGACATTCCCCATATAATTTTAAATATAAAATGACAGCAATCATTATTTCATAGCCGACCACTGTGACCATTGTGTATTATTCTTATTACTAATACTGCACCCAATCACTTTTTGACAATAATCTATAAAAAATAAAAAGGTAATCAATTTTCATATTATAAAATAATTTATTTCATTATTACAGGCCATAGGCACAAACCGTCATTTTTACTCCGAATAGGACATGCTATTTTTTTCAAACGTCACAAATATTTTTTTAAACAATTTCAAACTTTGCAAATAATATAACAAGATTTAAAAGTAATACCTTGTAACTAATTATACCGTATGATCGAATAAAAACGGCGTCAGCGATGGCTATGAAATGACAATCGATGACATTTCCCATATAAAATGACAGCGATCTTCATTTCATAGCCATCGCTGAGGCCGTTTTTATTCGATCATACGGTACTTATATCGAGAAACTATGGTTACACTCGTTGAATTTGACACTTTATATCAGTTTAATAATATATTTTCGTACTTTTGTGCTTATGCGTAAAAGTGCTTTATTTTTATGCCTAGGCATTAAAATTATTTTATTTTATCAATCACGTCGCCAAAATTAATACTTTTTGTTGCGTTTGAAAAAAAATCATTTATTTGTAAGTTTTTATAACATATCTAATTAAATTGGGCCGAAAGGAGTCAGTTCTGAACACACATCCGTGGTTCTGAATCATTCTTAATTTATTTTTAAAAAAGAACATAAATACCTAAAACAAAAAAAAATTAAAGTTAGTAGATATGTCAAAATAATAAGTAAATTAGATATTTTAGAAAACCTGTATATTTATTTAATTGGAAAACTGATGAAATTTCATATATCTTTCAAATTAGAAATTGTATCCTAATTAATTTTTACTCTAATTGCTAAAAAACGAATATTACAAAAAATTAAGTTATAAAGTGAGTTTAGTTATATTAAAGTTCACCATATTGTCAAGAAAAAAAAAATTATTGCTTTTAAATTAAAAATTATGTGCAAGTTAGGTTAAACTACAAGTTAAACAATATAGATAATCAAAATTTTTTGATAAAATTTGCTTTTTATGATGTCAGATCATTTCTATGAAAAATACACTAGATAGAATACATTAGATTTTTATTAAAGACGCTGATGGGTAACTAAAACATTGACTAATAAACCTTGTCCATTTTAATATAAGAGGTCACGACATATTCCCCTTGGAATCTTTGTGAAGGTGTAAGGGGTGTATAATAAATTAATCCTTGTTTTATAATAAAAACCATAAAACATTCATTTGTGAATTAAATAAACGCCTGCCCTCGCCTGTCATAGGCAACCAAAAATACATATAAAAAAATCTTGTAACTTTAGATGAACTTTAGTAATTATGTCAGTAAACTCTTAATTGAGCCTCTAGTCTATTATATTTAATGTACAAATATATTATTAAATTTTAATCATAGATTAAATATTTTAATCTAAGCATTAAGTAATAAAACTATTTGTGCCCATTTATCATAAGAGGTCACGAAATATACTCTTGGTAGTACACAAAACAGTGTAAGGGGTGTAAATAAAATGTATAATCATTGATTTTCTATAATATAAACTATAAAACATTTATTTCTTATTTGTGAGAATAAAAAAACAAAACAATGCATAATATAAACTATTTTAGAATTAGGTATAGGCAACCAAACACACAAGAAAAATAATTTAGATAAAACCTTGTAATTATTTATTAAATATGTCAATAAAGTCTTAATTAAATCTCTAGTCTATTTTTATTTTATATTTACATAATATAAATACCTTACACTCTTTTTCCGATACAGAAAATTTTGTTAATTGCTGCTTGAAAATGCGACAACCTGACAACGCTGTTTTTAACGTTCGGGACGCGTTCGGGTGGACGACTCTACCCGAACAACTGGTAGGACAGATGCTCATTAGGACAGATGTGGTTCTCCCGCGGTATTCGTCCTACGGGGTATTTGTCCTACCAACCGAACGTCACTTCGGGCATGTTCGGTAGTCCTAAAAATTCCTGTTTCAGGAATTTTGTCCTGGCTAACGTACTAAATCTGTCAACGTCGCATACTTTTCAATCTTGTTTTGTTTTGGAATTTGACAAGATTAACCTCAGAAAAAGTTTAAAATTATAATTTTTATGAACATTGACGAATAATGTTATGAATAATGTAATAGAACCTGATATAAAATAATCCGGAAATATTTACAAATAAAGCATAAACAAAATGAAAGTGATAGCAACACGATTACCTTTGATAATGTGTTTTTTATATAAGAATACGTCTACATGGGTTGAAATCTCAGGTGTGTATCTAGATAATATGTATTCAAACAAAAGCTGTAAAACGATTAACAATTTTTAGAAAATATTAAGCTATCCACAAATTCCTGAAAATAAATTAGCCGTGATTTGCGGAAAAAATGTTCTTAATTATTTTTCCCACATGATGTCCTTTCAGGTTCCAGGTATGTGATATTGTTTTAATTGCAAGATCGTAGCTTACAAAAATTCATTCTTCAGGAAACAGCACGGGCATGTATTAGGCATAATAAGTAATTATAAAAATATGAGCAAAAATGAGATGGTTTAAAAGAGTGAAAATTTTAAGGTTAAGAAATCTGAAACTCAAAGGAAAACTGATTAAAAACTGATAAATAAGTACCGTTAAACTGGAAAAGCAAACTAGTAAGTATTTTATTATGAATCTATTCACTATAACATTGTGGTATTTTACGAAATGTATTTCTTTTGAATTACAGCTATACGCATAATACAAAAGACAATTTATCATCTTTAAAACCATAAGGCATATGATATATGAGATAGGTAGGTATGTACCATGTGGTAGGTACAATATGATCGAAAAAAAAACGGCGTCAGTGATGGCTATGAAATGAAGATCGGTGTCTTTTATATGTAAAATTATATAGGGAATGTCAAGGATCGTCATTTCCAAGCCAACTGGACGCCGTTTTTTCGATTATATGAGACATAAGTGTCAGCCTTCCTAGACCACAGACCTTTATATTATACTTCTAGCACAAGGACATATCGGCAAGCCTTAGGTTGGTGTTTACGCGTGTAGGTGTGAATCGCTATGGTGATCTGGTCGGAGATAGAAAAATATAAAATATTTATTACATAACCACACTTAATCTGATGATTTCCTATGCATTCAATACCAAGTTCAATACATCTGATTGTAATAAGCATATTGGCCATACTCTTCATATACATGAAAATCGTATCAATCGTGTATCACATAGCACATTTAAGAGGACTGATCCTATAAAGGCATTTATTTTTGTTTTCTATTTATAACCTCGTTAACTCATTTATTTTGTAGATTTATTGAATATTAAGCTCTAGGATAAAAAAACCTGCTTAGACAGAACATGGGTATTTTCGAATACTTTATTTAGAAGATCTTGTCAGGACAATGATATAAGATTACAGAAAAATATCTGACGTAGGACAAATGTATAAAGTCTTCAGGATACCCTTCGGGAACAATTTAGAATGATGCAGCGTAAACTACAGTAAAGTCTGAACATTAAAGCATAAAGGTAAATAAATTATCCATACATGTGTGCAGCAAAGTCGTAATATAATAAATTTATTGTTTTCAGAAACAAAATCCACAACTTATTCTGCCAAATACAAATAGTACACATCTTATTTTACTAAGCGTGTTGACCGTACTCTTCATACACACAAAAATCGGCACCCAAGGCCTGAAATGCCAACTCTAGTATACCTATTCTATGTAATAAATATTTTTTTAAGTATATTTATTTGTATTATTATCTTTCTAGATTAAAATATTTTTAATCAGTCTGAGAATCAATATGAATTTATTTTTAAAAAAGAACGAGTATACCTAAAAGCAAAAATGATTTAAGTTAGTATGTCAAAATAATAAGTTAAGGTATTTTTAGAAAACCTGTATTTTAAATTGCAAAAGCTGATAGAATTTCAAATATTTTTCAAACTAAAAAAATGTATCGATCTGAATTAATTTTTCAAATATAACCAGAAAAAAATATCTATCTTAAAGTTGCAGCTGTGGTTGCAATACTCTGTATTGCTAAAAAACATTTTATTTATTAAAATTACAAAATTACGGT